CACCCTCCGAGCTTGTCCATTCCTTTGAAGAGGTCTTTCCACTTTTCCTTGTCCTGTCTAGGTCCCAGCGGTAGTACCGCGCAACCCAGCCGTAGTACCGCTGAGGAGACACAAGCGGCAGTACCGCTCCACAGCGGTAGTACCGCCCTTGTCTCCACAGAAGTAGTACCGCTAGGGTGCCTGGCACCACCGCCTCGTCCTCAGCCTCATTGGAGAGATTCTCTCTCTCTCTTCAGTGTCCCAGTGGTAGTACGGCCGAAGGGTCACAAGTGGCAGTACCGCTCCACAGTGGTAATACCGCCCGTGACCCCGCTGCCGTAGTACTACTGGGCTGTCTGGCTCCTACCGCCTCGACTCAAGGGGTCTTTTTCTCGTGTCGGGTTTTGCGGCACTAGTTGCGGTTGTAGAGGCGGTAGTACCGTTTCTGGAGCGGTAGTACCGCCCCTACCACCGCGGTAGTACCGCATTGGGTCTTATTCCCTACTAGTCTCCTCTGCGCAGCAGTGCCGCTGGCTGGTGCGGCAGTACCGCTGACCTAGCGGTAGTACCGCCCCCTCTTAGAGGTAGTACCGCCCTGTGCGGGGCTGGTTGGTGGGGGGCAATGGTTGGATTGTTGCCCCCACTATAAAATGGAGTCCCCTTCTTCTCTTTGACCTACCTCTTCCTCCCCCAAGCTCCATTTATTGCTCAAGCTCCATTAAATGCTCCAAGCTCCATTTTCGCCCGATCTATCTCTCTAGCCAATCAAACTTTTTGATTTGCTCGGGAGTGGTTGAGAAGACCCCGATCTACACTTCCGCCAAGGGATTTTCGATTCCCCCACTCATCCCTAGTGGATCTTGTTACTCTTGGGTGTTTGAGCACCCTAGACGGTTGAGGTCACCACGGAGCCATAGTCCATTGTGGTGAAGCTTCATGGTTTTGTTGGGAGAGATTGCCCCAACCTTGTTTGTAAGGTTCGGTCGCCGCCTTCAAGGGCACCAATAGTGGAATCACGACATCTCGCATTGTGTGAGGGCGTGAGGAGAATACGGTGGCCCTAGTGGCTTCTTGGGGAGCATCGTGCCTCCACACCGCTCCAACGGAGACGTACTTCCCTTCAAAGGGAAGGAACTTCGGTAACACATCCTCGTCTTCACCGGATCCACTCTTGGTTATCTCTTACCTTTACTTGTGCAAGCTCTTTAGTGTTACTTCTCTTGCTTGCTTGTTTGCTTGTTGGTATTGCATCATATAGGTTGCTCACCTAGTTTCACATCTAGACAACCTACTCTGATGCAAATTTTAATTTGATAAAGAAAAGTTAAAAATTGGTAGTTGCCTATTCACCCCCCCTCTAGTTGAAAGAACATGCAGTGCCCCCATGTTTGGTTTTGGTAATTGATGACAATCTCTATGGACTAATGGTTTCCTTGAGTTATATTTGAAGGTTTTGTCCATAGGCTTTTCTTGGAGTGCATGTGTTGATTTCAAGAAGAGTTTGTGTCGACCAAGGTGTTATTCAAGGAATTATCCAAAGATTGGTCATGTGAGAGTTGAGCTTATTGCAAGCATGTCTTGAAGAAGAAGATTGTGTGATCATTCATGTTTACCTTCAAGACATCATCCAAATGAAGAGAGTTGGAAAGATTCAATGTTGATCAAGATTAAGTCAAGAGTGAATCAAGTTGATCAACTCACAAAGCGTAGAAGAAGTACCGAGAGGGATCAAGTGATCCCATGGTATGGTAAGCATTGTCCATTAGGCTTTGTGTACTAACGCATGGTCTACGTGAGAGTTCTTTGTGGGGTTAGGTATGTTTCCATGGTCTTGCGTCAAGAGGAAGATCTCATACAACCCATGGAGGATGACATCAAGTGGTGATCGTCATCAAGTTTGCAGTGTGCAAGTTCAAGTGGAGCAACTCGAAGAGTGGCTCACCCATAATGGAGTATGGGGGAGCAATCAAGCTTGAAGCTTGCCATCCATTGTGGTGTCAATGGAATTTTGAAGATGTGCCAAAGAGTGGCTCACTCATAGTGGAGTATGGGGGAGCAATCAACTAGTCTTCATCGAGCCAACACAATCAAGAAAGGTGGTCCAACTTGAGGAAGTCAAGATCGTCATCATCTAGCTCAAGTGGACTATGTGCAAGGCAAAGGTTTGCCCTTGATAGGTTTTCTATTTTACCGGTCTCATAGTGGTAGTTGGGAGACCGGGTTGTAGGATATTTTGCCGTACTATCAAGGGGGGGCTCTCTAGGGAGTAGCTTGATCGTATCATTAGTCGAGAGCTCAAACCATTGCATCCTTGAATCATCTTTCTTGGTTCTTGTTTGGTTCCATTTGTGAGTCTTAGAGCTTATGGTCATCTTGATGACAAGCTTGAGTTCATCGAAAACGGAGTTCGCATGCATCTTCTATGATGTTTTCGGTGTTGGAGGTTTTACCGGTCTTATCCGAGGAAGGGTTCTCACCATTTTATTATGGTCCTTTTCTCATTTGCTTCTTATTGATATTTCTCTCAAGATTGTATTAGCCCTTGTCATTAGCTTTCCAACTAACTTGGTTTCATTGAATTCGGAGCTCGTATGCGAAAGTTGTGGCTGTTTTGATATTGCCTGTTTTACACAGAGAGGTTGTACCGCCCCATGGAGAGATTGTACCGCTTGACCGGTACAACCGGTGTTTGGAGTGGTTGTACCGCTCCAGAATTGGTCCGGAGGTTGTACCGGTCATGTACCGCTCTACCACCGGACTGGTCTCTGTTATGGTCGGTTGTTGGGCGGTTGTGGGCCGGTTGTACCGCTTATTTCCTGTTACCGGTTGTACCGGTGCTCATAGAGGTTGTACCGCTCCTATGTTATTCTGTACATAACGGGCAGATTCGTGGGGACCTATTTAAGGGGGTCTTCTTCCCCAATGGTACCCCATCTCTTGAGCTCGTTTTTGCCTCCATTATTGACCTTCTTTGAGCTTGCTAACTCTCAATTCCTCCATGGATTCTTACTAGTTTTTGAGGGAAAAGAGAGAGGAGATCTAGATCTACATTTCCACCAATCACTTTCTCCTCTATGTGAGGGGAACCCCTTGGATCTAGATCTTGGAGTTCTTGGTGTTCTCCTTCTTGTTCTTCCTCATTTTCCTCCCTAGCATTAGTTGCTCCGGTGGGATTTGAGAGAGAAGGACTTGGGCACTCCGTGTGCCCTTGCCATTGCATTTGGTGCATCGGTTTGAGTTCTCCACGGTGATACGTGGAAGTGAAGTTTGAGAAGCTTATTACTCTTGGGTGTTTGGGCACCCTAGAGCTAGTTCCTCTTGGGTGCCTTGGCGCCCTAGACGGTTGGTGTTGTTCGGAGCTCAATCATTATGGTGTAAAGCTCCGGGCAAGCATCGGGGTCTCCAATTAGGTTGTGGAGATCGCCCCGAGCAATTTGACGGGTACCGGTGACCGCCCCCAAGGGTTGCCAAAGTGTACGGGTTCGGTGACCGCCCCCAAGGGTTGCCATTTGTACGGGTTCGGTGACCGCCCTCAAGGGTCCCTTAGTGGAATCACGGCATCTTGCATTGTGCGAGGGCGTGAGGAGATTACGGTGGCCCTAGTGGCTTCTTGGGGAGCATTGTGCCTCCACACCGCTCCAAACGGAGATTAGCGTCCACAAGGGTGTGAACTTCGGGATACATCGTCATCTTCGCGTGCCTCGGTTTTCTCTTACCCGAGCTATTTACTTATGCACTTTACTTTGTGATAGCCATATTGTTTCTTGTCATATATCTTGCTATCACCTAGTAGTTTATCTTGCTTAGCATAAGTTGTTGGTGCACATAGGTGAGCCTAGTTGTTGTAGGTTTTGTGCTTGACAAATTAACCGCTAGGTTTATTCCGTATTTGTTCAAGCCTAAACCGTAATTATTTTAAAACGCCTATTCACCCCCCCTCTAGCGACATCCACGATCTTTCACTAGTCAACCATATCGATCCTTTCAACGGTATTTCTTTTGCAAAGTCAGTTGGGGTCCCCGGCACAAACTAATTTTTAAAAATAGTGCTCATTTCGTGCTTGCAATAGTGTGTCTTCTTCAATCCTACACATGATTTTTGTTACGGAACCACACAGTATGAAGTGAACAATGTATAAAAAATAAAAGACACATAATGCACCGGCTTATGAAGAAAACTAAACAAAAAATCAGTCATATATGACTAAAAGCCATGCTATCATGCTATGACAGAAAGCTTGATTTGATATGCTACCTTCATCTCGGTGAATAAGTTGTTCACGTAGTTCTAGGTCGATAATTTAACTATCTAAATATGTATTATATGTGACAAAAATATATATATTTAGAAACTACATTCGTGTAGAAATTCAGTGATATACTTTTCATGACATAGTATAATACATATTTTATTCCTCAAATCGATGATCTAGAACTACGTGAATGACTTATTCAACTAGACGAGATAGTAATGAACAGTTAACCCGTTTCCCGAGACACTGTTTTCAAAAGCGTCTGGTGAGTTCTTTTTAACTAAAAATAAACTTTCCGTCAAAATTAAGTGAAGTGTGGTCCAGGTTAAAAAAAGTTCTATACATAAGAAAATTATACTTTCTTCCGCAGAACTATTCACGGCTGCTGTTCTTACTCCTTTGGCTGGTGCCAAATCAGGTGACTTTGAAGTTGAAGCTTGCCCGCAGAACGATGTAATCATGCTGGTAGTAATATGATTGCCTTAGAGCGCAGATGTCTATGTCCCTAGGAACGTGATGCTTAGGTGCGAGGTGAAACACAAGCAGGAGATCGAGAAAAGAAATCATACGGATTGCGACCAACAGATGAAGAATCTCACTTCACTGAGAAGATTTTGATGTTTTCTTATATTAAAAATCATCTGTAATAGAAATTGCTACAAATTCTATAATTCAAAATTCTCATATTTTAGTCAAAAGAATAAACTGAACCCAGAACTCTTCGCAGATGCTTAGTGAATAATCACTGAATCACACCCTAGCCACGTCCTACGGCAAAAACCCGAACCTCCGGTTGGCGCCACCGTTAACATTGGTCGGCATCGTCGGGTCGGCGCCTACGAAAGTCCAGTCGTCCACGCTGCTGCTGCCGCTGCTGCTGTAGTCTGATTCTGCACGACGCTGCTCCTCTGAATCCGATACATTGGAGTGCTTCTCGGTGGACGAGTCTTCTTCCTCTTCATGTTCGCAAGCAGCAATGTCACTCGAATTCTCTGTACCAATGTCGTCAGAACCTTCGGAATCTCCGGCAACATCCCCAGCCAGATCAGCAACCTCCTGAGTATCCTCGTCAGAACCTTCGGTATCTCCCTCCTGATTACCTTCGGCATCTCCAGCGTCGCTGCCGGCGAGGTCAGCACCCTCCTCATTGCTGTCGTCGTCCTCCGAGGCACCCTCATCCGACAAGTAAATCGCCCTGTCCAGCAAGAACACCGCCTTGGCACCGAGAGACACGAACAACAGCGCACCGAGGTAAAAGTCGAGCACGACGTAGGTGGCAACGACCTTGGCGACGTCTATTGCCACCACCGTCATGGCGGCAGCGTGCCACTTGTTCACGTTCACGTGCGCTCCGTCGGCGACCTCGCCTTCGTCCGTCGTCAGGTAAGCCTTCCTGGCCGACGCAAGGGCGGCGACGTTGTAGATGGCCAAGGACGCGAGCACAAACGGCCGGTTCCCCAGCATGAGGCCGAGGAAGTAGGCGTCGATGCAGTGCATCATGATGATGACGAACCAGAGGCACTCCCCCGCATCCCGCATGTCCTTCTCCGTGATCGCTCCACCCGCGGCATTGCCAGCTCGCCGTCTTGCATTGGCCGTGTTGCTGCCGCCGGCCCTGGTATCAATGACGTACGAATCCCACAGGTAGACCCTCTCGGCCTCCATGAGCGCAAAGCCGCAGAGCGCAGCGAAGCATGGGAAGCACATCGCGAACGACGTGATGCCGTTGCAGATGCCGTTGATGGTGAACACTAGCGTGCAGTACGCGACGATCGCCGAGATCCATGCGACGAGCACCGTGGTGCCACGTTTGGAGCGGGAGGTCGCCGCCTCCGCCTCCGCCTCCGTCTCCTCTCTCGGCGGCGGTCTGAACCCCTTCACGCCCCTCCACCTCAGAACCGACGGCGCTCGGCTTTTCGCCTCGTTGAGCGCAGCGGTGAGCAGGACGGTCGCCAGAAGATTGGTTACGCCGGCGGCCAAACGGAGCCAGAGGAACGCCGCGACTGCCCCGTCCGTGAGGCCGCTCATCTGCTCCCTCGCCTTCCTCTGCAGGCCATCGATCGCCTCCGCGGCAAACGCGTGGGCGCGGCGCGCTTGCTCCTCGGCGCAGGCATAGATGGGCGCGATCAAGGGGTCATCTCTGAGGAAGGCGCGGGCGTTGCGCAGGTCTTCCTGCACGACGGCGTCCACCTGGCCGAAGAAGCCGTCGACGAGCTCCGGCGACAGGACGCGCACGAGGTAGACGAGGGAGAGCGCGAAGGAGGCGTGGAACGCGAGGCCCGTGGACAAGCACGCCGACACGCCGACGCAGATACCCGACGAGACGAGGAGCGACACCGGGACCGTCATGATGTGCGATCGATCACGGCAAGTCGGCGCGATGTCGATCGATCGCCGTTGCGTACGGGTGTTACGGTGAAAAAAGGAAGGGGCTTTGCGTGTATATATTGGATGGAGGGTTCTGTGAGTTGGTATCCAACTCTCCGATGTATCGGGATTCGGGAAACGACATGATATAATCTTACTGGACGAACCGCTGAATTCTTCTTCCACAAGGAAACGTAATTGGCTAACCGTGTGACTCCTCTTCGATTGCGATTTGCCTCGATCTAAATCCGTACGTCAAACATAAGTTACGTTCAGAGTGGATGCAGAACCCCCAATTTTTTTTTGCCAAAACACAAAACGGAAAAGATAATGAGCGAACGTTCTTTGGGAACGGTTTTTGCAGCGAACGCCCGGTGGCGCGTTTGATCCATGCTTATGTGAGCACGTGATAGCATGGCAATCTTCATCAGGCACTATTCGCTCCATCCACCCCCTAGCGAACAATGTAAATTTTGAGCAATTGCCATTTTTTTATATAGAGCATGACAATTTTTGTGTGTAGTATGACATGATAATTCATGGACTGGCATGGCAACTTTCTCTGCAATAGGATGGTCATTCTTTTTGTTGCAGCATGGCAATCCTCTTCTACAACATGACAATTCCAGAGCATGTAAGCAATTTACTATCATATATATCCCGCAAAAAAATCTATCATATATCATAATAATTCTCTCTGATGCAACATTTGCCAAGTCCTAATATCTATCACTAGAGGAATAACATGCATGTCTGTCACAGCCCTAGAATTTGCTTGTCATTAGTTGCATTAAGGCATTCATGTCATCATGTTTAAATTTCTCAGAAAGTTGAAATGGGGATGACAAACCCTAGCACCAAAAATTAAATCAAATAGGGTGAGCCATAAGCCTTTTCAATAAACCCAAAATGCCTTTAAAAATGTTCATCATTTTTAGAAAAGGTGAAAACCTCTGACAAAAATGATGCATATGTTTCAAGGTCATTCATGGATTGTTGAATTAAATCATATCATATTTGAATTTGGGCATTTAAACACTATAAATAATTTAAATGCTCAAATAATGCTGAATTTAAATGTGGACCACTGGAATAATCCATAGAGTGTACACAAATTATTGCAGCATTTTTACAAAATGCTTTAGTACTTTTACTAAAGCCAAAACAGCAGCATAAAAATAGAAAACAGAAACAAATAAAAGAGGGAAGGCCACTGGGCCACTTACCTGGACCTACCTGGCCCAACTCCAGCTGGCGGCCCAGCCCATCAGGCAAAGCGGCTGTCTTCAACCTCTGCCAGAAGGCAGAGGCGTGTCGACACGCGCGCGATCGCCGTGGCCAGCTCCCTGCCTGCTTCCTCCTTCCCCGGACCCATTCGAGCGCCACGGAGACTCCCAGCACCACGCTGCACCTCTCCCCTCTCTCCCCTGGACCCCATCCCCTCCTCTGCTCTCCGTGTGGCACCACCGAACACACCCGCCGCCGCCGACGAGCACCACCACGGCCACCGGCCCTCCCTCGCCCATCCATTGTGTCTGGAAGAACCGCCGCAACTCCGTCTTCCTCATCGTCGACGTACTCAAGCCCGGACGCCCTGTGGAGCCCCCTCCGCCCTCATCTTCCTCCTCGGGCAACCGAGATCGCCGCCGTGATTTCGTCGCCTCCGAGCCGCCCCCAAGCACGCTGAGCTCCTCAGCGACCTCCCAGTGAGCTCCGACGCATTCCCCCTCTCTTTCCCGCGTCTTCCCCGACCTCTAGCCGCGGTTCCGTCAAGGCCGACACTCACCGCCACCTGAGCTCAACGTCGGCGTGGCTCCGGTGACCAATTGGTCCCGGGCGTGCGTACGTTACGCTCAGGGCATCGCGTGCTGCATCTTCAGCATGCTAACTCGCTCGCTTGGTATAATACCCTCGATGCGACTATAGCTCCCACGTGTCGAGGCACGACTTAGAGACATAATCGCATTGAAGGCATATGTCGCAAGTTAGGCAATCTTCACAAACATCCCATGTACTGTAATAATTAAAGGGGAGATAACATAGTTGGCTTACACTCGCCACGTCAATCAAGTACATAAATAACATTACATCATGCATACACTCATGGCCCGACTACGGCGCCAAAATAAAAGAGAACCCAACATGCGACACGGTCCCAATCACCCCCAACTGGGCACCACTACTGATCATCGGGAAAGGAAACATAGTATCGTTGAGAGTCTTCGTCGAACTCCCACTTGAGCTCATACGCGTCTCCTGGAGCGGAATCATCAGGCCCTGCATCTGGTGTAATAGTAATCTGTGAGCCACGGGGACTCAGCAATCTCGCACCCTCGCGATCAAGACTATTTGAGCTTATAGGTATGGCAAGGTAAAAATATGAGTGGAGCTGCAGCAAGCGACTAGCAAGTATGGTGGCTAACTTATTCGCAAAAGAGAGCGAGAAGAGAAGGCAAAGCGCGAGCGAGAAACTAGAGTGCAACCTGCGCAAACATTACTCCAACACCGTGTCCACTTCCCGGACTCCGCCGAGAAGAGGCCATCACGGCAACACACTCGGTTGATCCATTTTAATCAAGTTAAGGTTCAAGTTATCTACAACCGGACGTTAACAAATTCCCATCTGCCCATAACCGCAGGCACGGCTTTCGAAAGTTCAATCCCTGCAGGGGAGTCCCAACTTAGCCCATGACAAGCTCTCACGGTCAACGAAGGAATAGACCTCCTCCCAAGACGTTCCGATCAGACTCGGTATCTCGGTAACTCAAGACACTTCGACAGGTTAAAACAAGACCAGCAACACCGCCCGAATGTGCCGACAAATCCCGATAGGAGCTGCACATATCTCGTTCTCAGGGCACACTCAGATGAGAC